AAGAGGCACACAAGTGTATTCGATGTAAGAACATGGAAGGATTGGAGGTAGGCTATTGGTAGGGAAAGTTTTGTTTCAGTACAAGTGAAATGTTTCTTGGCCTAAAAGTCCCACCATGACGAAGGGTGTGGGAAACTAGAAAGTAGATTGCCTTACTGAGACAATAAATAGTTCTCCCGGTTATCTCTTTTAGGGTGCATCTACACTGTAGAATTAGGGCAATTTGACATCACGTTAACTGCTATGACTAAATGCTATGTGGTTTTGGGAGTTGTAGTTTTACAAGGTCTTTAGCCTTCTCTGCCAAAAAAGTTGGTGCCTCACCAAACTACAAATCCCAGGATTCCATAGCATAGAGAGGCATGGCGGTTAAGGTGGCATTAAATTGTATTAATTCTAGTCTGTTCACATTTGCCAATTCAAGTGTCAATACGGATTTTTCCTGAATTCCCGAGGGACCAAACTCCAATTAAATATCTTTTCTCACTTTGGCTCCTTCAATCTGTCTTTACTGTAAATAATAGAAGATTAAATCTGAATATTTGACAATCAGGTGTTATTGCCTGAACAAAGGCTACGGTCAATCAACAAAGGCTACGACAATCAGGTGTTATTGCCTGAACAAAGGCTACAGTCTTAATTGTAGGCAATGCAAATATAACACATTTTGACTGGCTTTTAATAAAATGAAGCTTTTTTTCACAGGCCTTTCTTCCACAAGGAAGAAAAAGTTCCTGAATGTATGCAGCACTGACTGCAAAGAGAAATATAAATAAATATTTATCACAAGTTTGGAGAGGAAACTGTGCTGTGCAATATTTGGGCGAGTCTGCAACGTATGAGAAAACACTGTAGAGAGCTCTAATTATTAAGAGTTTGCAGTACATTAATCTACAATTACATTGCGCTAAACATAATTCATGGATTTTATCATGCTTGAAGTTTCCCTTCATTTATAGTCATGATTTGCTATCAAGGGAGAAAAAGGGAGGGGGCAAGTTAGGCTTGTGCTTTGCTTTGCCACAGAAGCGCATAGGGAAGCGCATTAGGTAATTGCAAGAAAAGATGTGAGCAAGGAGGAGAGAAACCTTAAGGAAGGCAATGGAATCCCACTCCCTTTCTTTTCAGAAAATGTTTGCCAGCCAGCTCAGCTTCAGTACTGGTGAGTTTCTTAGATGAGTTGCTCTCACTAATATTTCCTTGAGCACATAACACATGGTGCTGGAGAGCAGTACGAGTAAACACGAAGCCATTTGGAAAGATCATCCCTCCCTTCAATCACTTTCTCATAGGAAAAATCCAGTCATCCCTAAGAAGACACCTGCAGGTCCAGAAAATTGGTCCCTTTGTTTATTCAAAGATGAGCAACTCAAAATAGAAGAATGCAAAACTCAAATTTACTCTTGTATAAGCAGAGTTCAAGAAAATAACAACTTCAGTACAAACCAATAATACAGTCACAGTTCTTCTGAGTATTACACTCACATATAGTCCATGCATTTGACTCATGCAATTCTTCCAGTAGAAAATATGTCTCTTCCAATTTTCCTTCCTTGTTCGTGGAGAGAAGTAGAGAAGATAAACTTGGCAGCATCAAATGGGGGGAAAGTATGATAGTTGGGACCCAAGGCTACACTACTTGTGCAACGTAGTTCAGAATTAATAAAGGGAAGATGTGCACAATGCGGGTAAGAATTAATGAAGGGAAGGAGGGGGGACAGAAAGGGAGGGGGGGGACAACAAACAGCCAAGCATAGTGCTTAAGGCGAGTGAAGTAATGTTAGAGTTATTTACTGTTAAATGATAAACAACGGCTTACGAAGACGGTAAATGGGATAGAAATGTTTCCTCTCCCCCTTTTTGGTGAACAATGTTCCTATGACTCTGACGCAGCTATGTCTCTCACTTGCTGTGCTGTCTTGCGCATGTGTTCCCCTCATTAATTCAGACCCGCATTGTGCAACCAGCATAAGGTCCCAGTTATCATATTTTTGCCTCAAATGGGTTGCAAGTCAGGAGCTTACAGTGAGTAGCAAGGATTCAGCAAACTTAGAAGCAAACATTCAGTAAGCACAAATCATGAAGCAAACACTCCCCAGTTACACCCCTTTGGTAGTGGCCCAAACTGATTGACCTTAATTACTCAGCCTGCGGCTTGCAATTAATCAGGGTGAGTCTTTTCTTTGCACATACCCCCGGTAGTGATCCCACAGGAACTTAGCTATGTACTTTAATAGTATTTACATGGTTCACTTTGGATCTCTTTTTTCAGGGAAGTCTCTGTACATGCTTAGAAGTAAATGTTTAAATGGGCACATCATTTTCTAACTTTTGTTTTTTCCCACACTCAATTTTTGTGGATTTTGGATTTTTTTTGGTAAAAAGTAAACTGTCAAGAAGTTCTCATCCTTCTCTAAGGGATAGGCAAATCTGTTAGTTTTGCTTGATTCGTTTGATTCAGTAGGTCTATTCTAGTGGGAAATAGCACTATTGTGCTTTATGACTCTGAGAACAAGAGAAAAACTTAACATAGCAGGTACTTTTCTGACTCATTAGAAGTTGGAACAACCAAAGTTAAAGGTTTACAGGCAAGCTTGAGCTTGACCACGACTCTGGAGCATAAAGTTCAAATCACTGGTCACGAAAGACCTCTGGGGCGCCCCACTCTCTCCACCTCAGAGGAAGGCAAAGCCAAATCAAGAAAACCCTGTGATTGGGTCACCTTAAGGTCACTGTACGTCTGAAATGACTTGAAGGGACACAACTACAAAATCCTTCTACCACACATGCTCTACTGCACAACAAAGAGAAGAAAATAGCAGTGCCGTAAACATAGGGAGAGTTTCCATTATTGGTGCTTTATCTTGTCATTTCCTGTTTCTGCTAGGCCATAAATCACTGGACTGAACATATCTGACTTTTGACTAGGCATACGTAGGAGATGGGGAGCATTTTTCCATCTCTAGAGGAGAATAATGTGAGAGCTAACTGCCCTTTGAAGGACAGGATGTAGCTGACTTTTCATTACAGCAACATTTCTGTCTTCCAAAAAACTTTTGTCTCATCACTTCTTCTTACATTTAGCAGAATCATAGTTCCAAACTAGCTTTTTTCATTGGGGACCACCTGCTATGCTGTGCTATTTTGAGATGCACCGTTTTATGTAATTTTAGACTAATAAAGTCCTTGTTGTATTGGATGTTTTCTGGCATCGCACCATTCTGTCAGATCAAAAACATCACGTCACTTGCCAGGATGTTATGCATGCCCATGCCCTAGAACTATTTCTTTTATCTTGGAAACATTGCCTCAATGCTCTTCGGATGACAGCCGGGAGGGGCTTTGGCAGAAGGAATAATCACAGACTTGGAAGGGACCCAAACAACCCTTCCAGAAATAGGTGTCTTTGAGAAGGCTCTGGACAAACCACTTTACTTTTGACTCAGTTCCCAGTGACCTTTAAATTTCATACATTTTGCGTTGAATGATTTTAAAAAAAGTTTTCTTCTAAAACTCCATGGTGACATTTTTTAAAAAAACCCATCAAGCCTCTGGATTTCAGATGAGAAGCGGGGTTTTCGTTTGCGCAGAGCAGATTGCATATAAAGCAGGCAGAAAAAGCCATGAAATCAAATCAAGTGTATCACATTGAAGCTTATAAAGCTTTGACAGGCCAACCTCACACTAACATCAGTCCTTTTGGAAGGGTGGACGGTGGGGGAATGGGGCTTGCAAAGTGAGACTGTGTGTAACATGCTTTGAAATACACACACACACACACTATACAGTTGACTGCATATTTCGTCAAAGCTAGCCAGTGATACATTTCCAGTGGATATTATGGATGAAATTGGCATAAGATACAACATCGGTACCAAGGGAATTGCAGAATTACTTCAGCCTTTCCTCATATGTTTTGCTCTTCATATCACTTTTATTGCCCTTCTCGGAAGCTGCTCCATGTTGTTCATATCCTTCCTAAGGAGGCACACATAACTGTAAGTACTACTCCATTTGAGGCTTGACTTGCACAGAATACAGCAAGGCTGTTGCTTTTCTTGACTTGAAAACTATGGTTGTCATTAATGTACGCTAAAATATTATTTGCCCTCTTTTCTGCAGCACCACACTGGTAGGTCGTTCAGCTTATGATCAACAATAATTCCATGGCCATCCGTGAGAAGATGGAAGCAGAGAGAGGCGACCTTGCTGCCATCAACAAAACTCAAACTTAAAAACTTAATATGGACACGCCACTAGTTTTACCTACCCATGTCCCCCACCCTAACCCTATTTTAAGGAATTAATCAAGTTTTAATCTTTTAGCCTCTTTGTCTTGTAGTTGCTCAATTATTTGGGAGTGGGTCGACAGGCCAGTAGGCCATGATGCCTTGTGTTCATATGTGGTTTTACTGTATGTGTATGTTTTGCATGTTTTGATATGGTCAAAATTGACTAATCAATAAAGAATTGTTGTTGTTGTTATGATCAACAATAATTCCAAGATCCTTTTCACATGGAATGCTGCTAAGCCAAATATCCCCCTTGGATTTTGTGGACTAAGTGTAGAATTTGGCCTTCTATTTGTTTCTGCTATTTATACCCTCCTTGTTTTGTTTTATCAGCTCAGTATCTGGGCCAGAGCTATGGACTCAAAGGCATTTCAACAGGGATAGGAGTTTTAGATAAATCACGCAAGATGCTGCACCAAAGGGTAGGGAAATGATGTTATACTATAATGACAGCTTCCTCTCCATGCAGAAGCCTTCCCAAAGCTGGGTGCCATTCAGGTGTTGGACTACTAACCCCATCATCCCCACTTAGTATGGCTACTGCCATGCCTGATAGTAGTGATAGGAATTTTAGTTCATCTCATCTGGAGCTGAACCATGCATAGTATACGAAAGGATTTCCACACCTATACATGCTTATTTGTGTACTTCCCCAACACATATATTGTCTCAAATCACACGAAGGGAAAAACACGCAGCCAGGCTTGATGCGGTTCTAAAGCAAAACTTTAATAAATTAATACGCATGCGCAATAAAAATACAAAATGACAATTTTAAAACAACGACAACAACAGAACAATCCTCACTCATTCAGCATTTCCATCTTTAACTGGAACCATACAGAAAGGTATTACTTAAAGTGGCAGTCAGAATGCTTCCGGTACAAGAAAATGAGTCCCTCCATTTAAAGGATGCTATTGAACTGTAGAGGAAATGATCTCTCAAAGCTGGAAAAGAACAACAGCTGATGTCCCTGACCAGCCAAAGGTGGTCCGCTCTCCCTCGCCCTTCCCTCGTGGTCCACATGAAATATCTGAAACCAATGATGGAATGTAGAAAGAAACCCACAACAAATTTACACTAAGAAAACATGCTAAAGTACATCACAGACTATTCCAGAACACAGATGCTGTTTTGTTTGTATTGTACTGTTTGTACAAGAAATCTCACAAGGGAGGGGGAGCAAGAAGCAGATCACATAAGCTTGTATTTTTGGCACTATATGAGAAAACAACCCAGACCCACCAGTGTTGGCAAGTATAATATGTGTTGATCTTTTCCCAGCATGGTTTGAATGATGCCACAAAAGCAACAGAATAAGAATCTTTCATACACCAAAATCTCACAATAGGAATTCAGCTACGGGAGCTGGCTCAGTTACTTCAAAACATTCCTTCATCATCCCCGGATTTCCACTGCTGTCCATTTAAAACACTGCTGCAAACACCCACAAACAGGTTCAAAATAAAATGTCTTCATTTTTTATAAGCATCTCCACCACAAGTCTCTGGTAACGGATGTCATTCAGGGCAGCCATTGCATCAAGCTCTGGTGCTCGCATTAGCGTTGGCCCAAAAACGATGCCAAGGTTCTCTGAGTTCATGAGATTCTCTTTTTCATGGAGCGTTACCCTGTAAACAAGAAAGGTAGTAGTGAAAATGCTAGCTGCTGGCAGGCATTATTAGCTGCTGTCTTGATTTCACGAACATGGAACTGAAAAGCTGTATCATCACTATATATTAAAACCAGCTTCAAATAGGATTTGATGGCCATGCCTGCAACCCATAACGACAGAATGGTAATTCCCAGAGTTTCTTATTCATCAATCATAGTAGTCCTCCATTAGGGTTTGTGAAGGGTGATTATAAATGCACCTATCTTGACAATGCTTTGGATGCTGTTGTGTGTGTTGTGTTTCAGTTGTCGACTGAGGCTTATAGTTAGCAGGTACTACTAACTAAAGTGGCAGTTATATAACATGCTACTTCCTGCATCAAGCCAACATTGTGAATAGAGAATTAAAGGGGATTAGATAACTTCTTAGTGGATAATGCTATCAATCATTAGGATTATGTTCTCTTGGCAAGATGGGAGGCATACTGTGGCTGAGATCTTACATGGCAGAGGATAGTACAAAATAGGGTTGGTTGATAAAAACTGGTTCAAAACTCGTTTCAGATGTAGGAGGTGCTGGTGGTTCCATTCTAAAGTCACTTCCAGATTTAAAAAATTGAAACTTTCCGAAACTTCTGAATTAATTTGTTAATGCGGACACGCATGCGTAGTAGGAAAAAAAATAGCACTGGCACTGGGGAAACTTCAGGGGATTCTCCCTCCCTCATTTTTAGACCAAACCTGATGAAACTTGCTACAGTGGTAGGACACATGGACCACTGTTAGCTCATCAAATTTCATAACCTTTGACTTATCCATGGACTTAAACATGGCTGTGATTAGCCATGCTCACCACTTCCCTCCTTACATTGCCCGCGGCGTGGAAGGCATGAGATATTTAAAATCCCCTTGCCTTTACCAAAGTAGCTTAATGGTTGTGAAAATTAAAAATAACTCTGGGAGACATCCAAATATTATAGGATATTTCCAGAAAAAAAGGTAAGTGGTTCAAATTTGGATCCCCTCCACCTTTCCTGTATGGTTCAAAACTGCATCAGATGTCCAAATTCGCATGTTTAACCCAAATTTCAGTTTCTTCCGAATGAACCTATCCAACCCTAGTACAAAAGTTCCACAGGGGAACCACACTATGGTTGGCTCTACACTGTCCAATTAATGTACTTTAATTGCCATAGCGCAATGGGATGGAATCCTGGGATTTGGTGGGATGCCAGCACTTTTTGGCAAAGAAGGTTAAAGAACTTGTAAAACCACAACCATTCCATAGCATTGAGCCACGGCAGCTAAAGTGGTGTCAAACTGCATTAATTCTCCAATGTATATATACTTTATTCTCTCCTCTCAATTCCAACTTATTCAAATGGAAGGAAAGTGTGGGGACTGGAAAATGTCTGGCTATGTTTCCATAGCGAGGAGCAGAGTGATAGCATCATTCATTGAGATCTGTAGGGACCCCAAAGGTCTTCATAGATATTGCCACTGGCCTTGATACAGCCAGATGCTACTCCAATTTCTCTCTGTTCAACCAGTCACTGAATAGTGGTGGCAACAGTGAGTAGGCTGCAGAGGGTGATAGAGAATACCAATGTATGTAATGACCAGATTGGCAAATGTAGGGATGAACTGGACTGGCGTATGTCACTAACAGGATGCTAATCTGTCTCTGAGAACCAGCTGTTGCAAAAAATATGATGTTACTTGTAAGATGGTTTAGAAGGATCTGTATCCTGAAAAGCCAGCATAGAAATAATTTAAACGAACAAAAAATAAACCAATAAATTGTATTTGTTTATTTTATTTTACAGAATTATTAGAGACTAAAATGCCACCATGGACTCCTTAAAATAAAGTCTCCAAGTAAAGACTACTGTAGAGGGTTTTATAGGGGTTCATAGTTCCCTCTTCCATACTCTCTACATAAGCCGGAAAAGTGTCATAAAATAAACCTTGCCAGAACAGTAAATCCACATATTGTATATTTACTCTACACACTGAGTACAGTAAGTGTGATTGTATTCTCCCTTCCACCAGCTTCTGTTTTAATAGCATAGCATACAAATGGCTGTCTTGAGAGGCAATGCTTTGCTTTATGGCCGTTAATTGCCTCTCTCAGAACAAATTTGTATTTGTAAATTAGTTTGTGAACAGATTATACAAAAGCGCTAACGTGCATTACTGTCTTACACGTTCAAAATAAACCCATTTAAGGACTTAGTCATAAATGACTGAACATCCACTGCAAGGAAGGCACATGAATTATAAAAGAAACGTAACAATGGCCTTTTCATCGAGGCACTGTTTAATGCACGATGTGGAATTGAATAATTTCAGATACCTATCATGATAGCTAGGAAGTGCTAGTTGTTGGGTAAATTATTCCTAAATTGAACAACCTCTGCAATGCCTATTTATACTTATTCTGAATTTAATAAGGTAGCTGGCCAACTGCATTTGATAAGACTTCATTACCTTTTCCCTCACTGCATGCTTGTCGGATTGAGCATGCCTATAAAAAGTTAAATGCTACCTTATGTTGTTTGTTGCTAGGTGCTTAACACATTCAGGGGCCCTGCCCATAGGGGACAATCCTGCATAAAAGTTGGATATACTCAATCTTTAGAAATAATCTCAAGTGTTTAATTTTCACAGAAAGCAAAAGTCAGCCAATAGTTTCTCATAAAATAAATCCATTTGTTCTTGCAAATGAAACATATTATTCGAATACTGTACACCCTACTTCAAATCACTCCAAATCTCTAATGCTCTTCAGTTCCAATTAATTTGCAATGGTATGAAGAAAAAGAAAAGGTTCTGGTAGTATTTGTTATTAATTCTCTCTCCCCGCATACATATATAATTAAATATTGGTTCTCAAAAGGCCAGGATGCTCTATTCTTAATTAATTACTTATTACTTAATGTACTATTTTATTGGATTCAGAGAAAGAAAGACTGAATCTTTGAACAGGCTTTAAAAAATGACAGAAAAGGTATTACCCAGAACACGCTACAGCAGAATAAAAATCACACTAAATCCATACTATACTGTATAGATAGATCTGTTTATTGATTAGTCAACTGACCATATCAACAATAAGAGACAAAAATAAAAACACACAGACAAATAGACACTAATTGCTATGCTAAAATAATAGTAATAGTTAACTAAAATAGTAATAGTTAACCAAAATAAATGAAATCATGATAAAACTTGATTAAATAATAAATTTGGTGAAATGGGATTAAATTACAAGATGAAAGCGGGGGGGGGGGGGGGGGCATATCAAGTGAAAAAGTGTCAGTCAGAAAATTTAAATAAGTTCATCACCATGACATGGAACCCCATTTTGTGAGATAATCTGTATATAGATATATATTTCTATTCAAGTTCACAGACCCCATAGCACCATGGGGGTCCGTGGATCCCTGGTAAAGAACCCCTAATTTAAAGGGAAGATTTTTTACTGGGCTGCTGCGAGTTTTCTGGGCTGTATGGTCATATTCCAGAAGCATTCTCACCCACATCTATGGCAGGCACCCTCAGAGGTTCACATACAGTCTCACTAAAAGCTACAACGGCCAGCTTTTTATCTGGCTAGCACTCCCCCTCCTCTTATAATTCTGAAACGAGACTATTCTTTGTTTTGTAGTAAGAGAAGATGTTATTGCAAGCTCAAAAACGCTTTATTACTAATTGGGTAATTGTGCTTTACAACCCTAAAGATAAAGATGAAGATCAAATGTTCAGGACTATAAAGACTGTAAATTAAAATGATTTTTTTTTTAAAAAGAGAGAGAAGAAAAAAATATTGTTTACGTACTAGAAAAAAGATAAGCACAGTTGGCCTGCAAATCTAATAAAAATATTTTTTTAAATTCTGGAACTAGCAAAATTAAAACAAAAACAGTTGAAATTGACTGTGGGATCACACTGGAGGCACAGAGAGATTACTCCTCTAAGCATTGTGAGGTCCTCCTGTGTGATTCTATGGTATTCGAGCTCTTTTTGATATATAACTGAAATTGCATTAAATAAGCTCCCATAATAAGTGGGCCTACAGTAGTAATAAGCATGGAGCCAAGGCCCCTTCAGCTTTGAGGTAAGACTTCCAGACCTTAACTTTAAATCACTGTTAGATCAGCATGCCCCCTCATATCCAATGGTCACAAAAAGCTTGAAGGGCAGACGAAAACCTTAGAAGCAACTGGCATAACATCAAAACTGCTATTGAGGAACCATGAATTCTAGGGATGCATAATCTAAACTAAAAGGATTATGGAAGAGTATCTATCAAGGAAGATACTCTTGGAAGAGTATCTATCAAGTCACACAGGCTCCCTCCACACTGCTGAATAAAATCCCACATTATCCGCTTTGAACTGGAATATATGGTAGTGTGGACTCAGATAACCCAAGTCAAAGCAGATATTGTGAGATTTTCTAGATTGATATTCTGGGTTATATGGCTGTGTGGAAGGGCCCACAGTCTAAGATAGGTGAATTATCCTTTGAAGAGCAAACATCAATTCTTAGTTGCAATCGAATTTATGAAATGTGTCTCTGAATCTCTATTGCTTAGAAACTACTAAGCAAAGAACAAAAGCAAAGGAAGCATTTTCATGGATCTCCTTACAAGGAAGACATGTGGAGGGCCTAATTAGGTAATTCTAGACCAATCCAGGCTAGATCCCCTGAAAATATATAAGCACCCTCATTGTCATACCTCTTTAAATGTGCCATGAGGTAACGTAAGGTTTCACAGTGTGCAGGTGGCAACAGGTTCAGTGCTTCATGAAGTATTTCCAGCTGTTCATCAGGATCTGTGGATTCTGAAAGGAAAAATATGAGTACCAAAATTAAGCAAAAATGTACAGAAAAAATGAAGCCAGAAGAGTCTATTCCCAGTTAATAATAGCTTAATATAGTGTATAGCCAATGTAATCTGAGAGAATTGCTTCCAAAAAAAGGCATGCAGAACAGGAATTAAGGAATCAGCCTTCCTTTGTGCCTCTTTAAATGGAAATCAAAGGAGGAAAGCGGGCATGATGAATTAAAGAAGTTTGAATCTGAGCTTAATATTAATCACTGTATTTTGGCAAAGGAAATAAAGTAATTAATCTTTGAAATAGACAATTTAACTTTCAGATATTTTGTGGAGCCCCCTCACTATTTAATATAACAACAGAAACAACAACAGAAGCTGACTCTTAGATACACCCAGTTATAGGTTGTTGTTGGATTTTTAAAAACATTTTCTGTAATCCACCCGCCCTCTGGATGGTCTTGGGCAGAAAATTATCCCCCTACATTGACTACCATTGCCCACTCTTGATTTACATGGAAAACAAAAATTTACTGCAAGAGAGTATTCTCTTACTGTGACTATCTGATCCAACCATATGTTATGCCTCACAGGTAACACAGTTATCTAAAGGTATTGGCTAAGTATTATGGATGATTTTCTCGTTTAATGTATGCAAATACAAAATATGCAGTGTTTTTGTTGCAGAAATCAGGGTCTTTTGAGCAAAAGGTACTGCTTCTTTGGTGCAGAAAGCATGCATCTTGAGCAAAAGTACTTTTCTGACAGAAGTATTTTTAATTTAATGGATTTCCCAGAGTACAAATAGTCTTTGATAATTACAGAAACTTTCACAATTTCACAGAGCAAGGGAAAAAAAGTTGAAAGTATTTCTTCTTACATGCAGGGAAAAAAAATTGAATATAGACACCACAGCTCTCTAGGGAGTTGAAGGATCAAAGAAAATCTGTTCTCTCTTGTACAGTTACAATATACCCACAAAAATTACTATGATCCAAGTAAATATACCACACAAAATATTAGCCAGTGTTTTGCAATCTTTGGTCCTCCAGAGATCTGAAACTTTGGTTATGAGAATATCTGACCACTGGTCAAGCTGGTTGGATTTTGGGAGTTGGAAGCCCAAAACCTCAGAAAGATCAAAGATTGAGAATTACTGACTGAGAGGTTTAATAACAACAAAAAGCACTAAAACAGTCATTTGTCAAATAATTCAATATAATACTTACTTGCAGATTCTATAAATTTGGGGTAGGCATCATATGTAATGAGTGGAATTGGCAAATCTCTGAAGTACAGTTTAAGGGCACCTGTGATAATATTGATATCTTCATACATATTAACAGAAATATCTGCTTTTTCTCCATCTGTGTATGAAAAAGGGGGGGGGGGGGAAGGGGGGAAGAAAAGGGTAGAAGTATAAACTATTACCAAAGTGAAACAAGTCTATGAGCCCACGAGGGCCTTGAGATCATCTGGGGAGGCCCTTCTCTCGATCCCACCCGCCTCACAGGCACGCCTGGCGGGGACGAGAGAGAGGGCCTTCTCAGTGGTGGCCCCCCGGCTGTGGAACGCCCTCCCTGTTGACATCAGACAGGCGCCCTCCCTCATGGCTTTTCGTAAGAGCCTAAAGACCTGGCTATTCGAGAAGGCATTTAATTGAGAGCCACACGAATCTGGCAATGACACTTGGAACGGACTACGGACTATGAGATTGGCTACTGATTCTATGTTGTGATGGCGCGGATTTTTTAGTGTGATTAGATTAATGTGTAATTTGACTGTTGATATATTGTATGTTTTGTAGACTGTTTTTTACATGTTGTACACCGCCGCGAGTCGCCCCAGGGCTGAGAGCGGCGGTCAACAAATGAAGTAAATAAATAATAAATAAACAAGTGGCAATTGCAATGATATTAAAGGCAAAATTGAGGCATGGTTTTTATTGATAAAACACAGGCAAGTATATGCATGTATATATGTATGTATACACAAACACACACAGAGAATGTGTGTATGTAGATAGATATGAATGAAACTACAGTAGATTACTAACTTCTGTGTTTTAACATGGAAAAGCCTGCTCTGTATGCCATCACTGTTTTTAGTGATTGTGCATTTCACCCGCTCTCTCTTTCCAAGGCCATTTCAGTGTTTTCCAGCCCTTGGGCCTCCAGGTGTTTTGGACTTCAACACCCAGAAATCCCAGCCATTTTACCAGCTGTTAGAAACTGTGGGAGCCGAAGTCCAAAACACCTGGAGGACCAAAGGCTGGGAACCATTGTAAAGGTTTTTGACCTTAGGAAGTAGAAAATCACATGCACCTGTGGAGGGCTACCAAAACTGCTCCAAAGAGCCTTCTTACTGCTTTCCAGCTTAGGCATGTGTTATTTCCTCCACTCTCTGCAGAAGGTTACTGTCAGGATAGAGGTTATCTTGTTATGTGACTTCGAGTAATTTGTGACTTGTGGTGACTAGCAAATAACTCACTAGGGCTAGCAAACAGCTCACTAGGCCCACCCAGCCCAAACATCTTGCCTTGAGGCGAAAGAGTGCAGAGTGTGGCATTTGGGCATGGGTGGCTCTAAGAGGTGCACTGGGAAAAACCTTCATGAAAGAAATGCTGCTCAGAGCCCGGCCTTTGGACACTGCTGGTTTTGTGGAGAGCTCTGTTGGCTATCTTATGGAACTGGTGCTGTTCTCTATAGTACTAGTTCCACAAGGAGCAGGCATTTCAAGTGGTTGGAATGCCTAGTCTGTTAATTTCTATTCTTATAGAAGCTTTGTCTTTAGTGGGTTTGGGGCAGAAAAGTAGGGCTTAGCAGATACGACCCCATTAAAAAAACACTAAAAGCATGATGTGATGATTTAAACATTACACTATGATGCTGGAGTTCAAAGCCTTACTCAGCCAGGAAAACCTGCTGGATGATCCTGGGCAAATCACTGTCTCTCACTCTCAGAGGGATGCAAAGGCAAAGCACCTCTGAAAAAAAATCTTGATAGGTTTACCATCAGTCAGAAATGACTTGAAGGCACAAGGGCTGTGCTGTGCTCCTCAGCAACCAAGCACAGGGTTGAGCATAGAGCCTGAAAGTGCCGAAGGAGTTTGTTTTTCAAGTTTACAGAAAGGTATGCACTAAACCAGTGGCTCCCAAACCTTGGTCTTCCAATAGTTTTGGAGTTCAGTCTGCAGATGCACAGCCAGGGATACTGGGAACCAAAGTCCAAAACATCTGGAGGACCAAAGATTGAGAAATACTGCACTAGAAATATACAAGGTTAATGTTTGATGTTCTTTCTTTGAATTCACTTCACAAAGTCCTCATTCTACTAGTAAAATTTGTATGAATTCTAAGAATGTTAATTGCCGTAATCACTTGGTGTAGTCTAAAGCAAACAAGACTGACAAAGACTCCAAATTTTAGAAGTGGGTGTCCTCAGAAACCAAGGCTAACTCTCCAGACCTTCTTTTGAAAGCCTCTTCAATAGCAGAGATCCAGGTGCCCACTTGGGTTTGCATAGCAAACTTTTTGGTGATTCTCGCTTACCTGACCCTTCCATCACATTGTAGTACAAGCTCTGCAAGCACAATTCACATTTTAGAAATGACTTGCTACCTAGCATGGGGAAATGGAGATGGGGGCAGGCCAACTGTCCTTGAATACAAGTGAAAATTCCTGCTGGACATGCAAAACTAGCTGTCTGGGTCTTGGCCAGTACTGGATCTTGGCCAGAACATACCTCGATCAAAAGCCATTTTCACATCTTCAATTAAATCACTGAATCCTGATACTCTGTACAGTCCTTCAGAATTGAGACCTGTTAATTTACAAACACCATTCAATTAAATAGAAATGCATACATCTGAGCTAAGCTTCAAGTCTTTCCATTCCTTTTCTTTTGAGCATAAATTTCAATGCCAGCCCACACTACTAAGCAAGTATCATTGTTATGATCACAACCCAATAATTTTGTGCAAATATATTTCTGGTAATGGTTTTTGGAATGAGAAACATGCCATCAATTTACAAAGAACATGTGGAAACAAACTACTCAAATTACAATACTTAAACTGATTTGCATCTACTTAAATAACATATGAGCAGCGATTGAGTAGAGTCATTAAACAGGAAAGACTTGGAGAAGGAAATAACATATAATAATTGAGAGCACTGCTATAGATATCTATATTGTCTATTGTTCCATACAAAACTATATTGGTAAAGGGAACTTCAATACAAAAACAGCAGGCAGGAATATTATTCAAGAGCACTGCAAATAAAATATCTGTACTTCATAATCTGCATGATTGTATAATGCTATAAGGCCATAATCCTTATTATAAACACAGTAGGAAGGGATATGCTGGACATACGTTTGAACATCAATACAAAGTTAAATACCAATTGTTCAGAGAAATAAGCACTTCTAAAATGCCCCATGCAAATCTACATTCAGCTTAAATTCAGGTAAACCCTAGTAGACCCAGATTATTCTAAAGGGATTATTTAGTAAGACAACCAAACCATTTAAGCATGCCTTACCTCTAGATTCAATCTCCCTAATGCACATGTCTACCACCATTGGTCTTTTTGTGAAGTGCGCTTTTACTAGCGTTGTCAGATCACAGCTATAAACTTTCTTGACATGCTTCAGGTCTGGCTTGCAGTCGTTTGGGACCATCTTGGAACATTGCTTATGAACATTTAAACCACAATCTATGGAAATAAGAAAAGGAATAAAAATAATTATAGTTAAGCAAAGATTTAAGCAAGGCTTGACAAACTCTACCACCTTCGTTCTAAATGCCTTTATCTAGTAGATTAGCCATGGTCGGTAATAGATCAGTGTTGATTTCTCATTTCTAATTAATTTACAATAGGAAAAATGAACAATCATTTCTCTGCCTCCCTCTTACAATTCATTATCACTTCATTGCAGTATCAGTCTTCACAATTATTTTCACAGTGTATGCAGGCTACCGAATACTTGTCAATCACAGAGCTTAAGCACTGGTGCACCAAATTATGGGGTAGGATTGTCAATGCTTCTGTATGATTCTCCCCCTCCTATTCAGTAGCAAACCAAAACCTGGACACACAAACTGTAGAAGCATGGCAAGCAGCTGAACAAATATGTAGCATAAGTATCTAACACAACACAGACCATACTCACTTCTGTGATATATTTCTGCATGGTCTAAAACAGATAAGAGAAGCAGCAGATGAGCATAACAATATATGTTTATACACTGAGATGCTCTCCACCAAAGAGAGGGAGATGTATGAACTGCCTCCAATACCCTTGCGATTACAAGTGTGATAGGGAAATCCATGAGTCAAAGTACAAGAGGGTCCCTCTTTCTATTTCATGTCAAAAAGGCAATCCTGCTGACAGTGTTGGTACTGAGCATCAGCCTTCACCACAACTGCAGTGAAAGCTAGAGTCACCAGTGTCAGTGAGGTAGCCTATGTGTCGAAAGCCATCTTCCCAAATGGTTTAGGATCCTGGCTTGTTGGCTCCTTGAGCATCCAGAGTCCAGTGGTTCCCAATCTTTGGGCCTCGAGGTATTTTGGACTTCAGCTCCCACAGTTCCTAACAGCTGGTAAGCTGGCTGGGATTTCTGGGAGTTGGAAGTCCAAAACACCCGGAGGCCCAAAGGTTGGGAAGAACTGATTGAGACTAAAACCTGGGCACTTAAACTGGACATTCAAACTGCCAGCTTCCAATGCACAGCTGGTAAAGAAGATGGCTGGAATGGAGCAGGTTCCATGTGACACAGACTGATATTTTGTTCCAGCCTCCCAGCACTGGCTGTATGATTCAACATCTACAGTCAGCTTTCCACATTTGTGGGATTTGAATCTTCGAGAATTCAATTAATACGTTCTTTCTAGGAATTTCTAGATCTACTAGAAATTGACCGTAAAGTCAAACTGGACTGCGATTCTTTGGTCAGTGTAATTCTTTGGTCAATTTGACCACTGCATTCTCTTGGAGAAGTGGTTCTCAAAGTGTGCTCTGCAGCATATTGTTATGCTTCACTCCTAGTTAACTAACAGGAACAATGAATAAGCTTCTTTCCGTGCTCTCCCCGTGGATTGAAGACATATTCAGGGGCATTCACTCTTTGATATTTTGTATATGGCTCATCAGAACAATAAGCAGATCTCAGAGTTCTAATAAAAACAAAGTAGTATCACAACCCTTCAATCTACATATACACTCTTTATTGGTCTGACCAAGTTGAGCTGAACAGGCAGCAATGCTGGAGATGAGATGGCAGAATCAGCATTCATGGGGAGCTATGATGTTTCAGTAACATCTTGCAGTTATGCTTCTGACTACATTGACTCTGAAGGTTGTACTGCAAAATATTAAGCTATACGGCAATTCTGGTGAAAGGGTTTCACCAGTCTGAATGTGATCTGTATGTCTTTCTGTCTATTCTGTCAACTCATATCCAAGACAGAGGTAATGCCCAATCCTGCTACTAGCCACTGCAAGGTTCTTTGTTAATGCAAAGCATGTACCTAATGATCAAACTTTGATCCTTCTCAATGTGTTTAAGTATGGAATATGGCAGTTATATTTGGAGGAGAGGAAGTGGCCTTGACTTTCTGGATACGGCAGAAGGCTTATTATGAGAACTAATCATATGAATTCGCTGTCAATTTCCTCTACAGACCATTTTCAGATCATTCAATTGTTCTTAAGTTTTCTCAGGCCACCAAGGTAAAAGAGATTGCAATATGTTCAATTTTATTAGTTGATGGGAAGCTTGAAAACATTCTGAAATAGATGTTCAGATACTGCGAGTCGAAATGTCTTGAATAAGTTGTTCTTTCTCTGTGTTTTTCCAGGCAGCACGCAAAAGACTTAATATTTAAGGAGAGAAAAGATCGATTCTAGCATTCTCCACTGAAAGCTAAAATAATGTGCTTTCATTAATGCATGAGCAAACACAAAAACTGTAAGCACTGTATTAAGAATGCCCCAAGAGAACCCATTTCAAATATTTGCTGAGAGTACAATAAGCAGAGCTGTCAGTTTCTCTTCTATTGCTGATTTGATTTTAGTCAGCTTTAACCTTCATTGTACTTCTAATTCACTGCAATATACAGTTGGCGAGCATGCTTTATAGAAATATCACTGTATGTTAAATACCTGACCATCATATTTTATGAGATACACTAGGGAAGAATATGAATTCTGACATTTTTGAAAATAAGTAGCAATGGGGAAAAAGGAGAAAAAAAAAGATTTAAATGCTCTCAAGAAGACAGCCAGGAAATACTTCAGTTACACTGGATTTGAAGTAAGTGCTGTACACGACAAAGGATGTACTCAATATATCAATGATTATTCAACAAGCCTAATTCAGAAATACAACCTTAATTACAGACAATTAAAGGATTACCAACCTAGGAAATACTTTTTTACAGGAGGAATCAATAAGTTAAGAACAATCTATTGATGGAATTCAGGCAGTAAACTCCTTCTTTTGCAGAAACTACAGTCTTTGTTCTGGTCCTTCTTGCATCTCCCAAAAGCAGTGGCTCACAGCACAGGATTGCCAGCTTTGGGCTACCAGCAGCTGTAGATGCTAGCCACAGGCTGGTTGGAGACAAGGGTTGGAGTAGAGTCTGCTGGAAAGAGTAAGTGATTGGGAAGCTCTGAATGCATGTTGCCTCAAACTACCCTTTTCTTTGTTCCTATGCCAGGCTGCCATTTTGCTCCACAATTTCCTGGGTAGCAACAGCAATGAGACAGAAGGGAGAGGTACAGCTGTCTAACTTGGCACCAACCCAATCTCTCTTCCTTACAAAATGCTTTCAGGCTGACTTTATATTTTGCATTTAAATTGTCAGAACTGCTGAGGATGCAGGTTAAAGGGGACACTGCATTCAAGACTAAAGTTTTTTTGAAAGTTTATTCTTTACTTTTGAGAAAGGACAGAGTTAATGTTAGAATCTGCCACATAATGTACAAAAGAACACAAAGTAAGTGCTGCTGGGTTAGATCAAAGGCTTATCTGGTTCAACACTTTGTTCACGAAATGACCCATCAGATGCCTTAAGGAAAACCCATAAGGAGGATATGAGGGCGCCTGCTAACTAAATACTTGAGGGCTCAGAATTATTACTGCAAGTCTTTATTTTTAGAGTAACATTTTCAAGTTCTGGTTAGAAATACTGTCTTTGAAGCTGCCTTTCATCCAAGTTTTTGTCTTTTTGTTTGCCTCTTTGTTGATGCAAACTGTCTTGGCAGTCCTGTTTTGCTTGATCCGTCCATCACGAGCGAATGTCAAGTGCAGCAGAAACAGAACTGCATGTATTTATTTATCCTATTTATACCTTGTGCTTTCTGCAAGAAATTTAGGGCATCATTCATGGGTATCACAACAATTCTGTCAAGAAGATAAGGTGGTTTTGTTTATGCCACCCAATAGCCTTCATGGCTGGAAGGGAATTAAAAACCAGATTTCTCAAAGACCCTATTCTCATCTACACCAGAAGCCCAACACCAAGTCTGTCTAAAACTGAGCAATAAAAGGATTACTGCAGCATGTTCTTATCCAGAACTGTTATTTATTTATCGTGTCAGGGGCAACCAGACAACTGTATTACATTTCTAACAGAACAAAACAAACATGACTAGTATTGCCCCAAATTCCCACATTTCTCTCTAAAAAAATCCCTAATTTTTAGTTTAATCTACTTCGGGAAGAAGGCGTGGATTAGCACTATCAGAGGGCTGTGATGATGGAAGCTGTACTTTGGAGAACCCCAATTTGCTCATATTTGCACAACAGCAGCATAGAAACCAAAACATTTTTGCCTGATATATGTTATCTATTCTCTCTCAAAAATTTTAACATTCTCTATGGTCAGGGGGCACCAAATTGGTTTCACAAGCGGTCATGGTATTTAAGGCAAAACTGCTTTGCATTTAATATAAAGATTACTAATGGAATCTAAAACATGTTTGTATGTTTAAAAAAATCACGTATGATAAAGTGAGAGTGAAAGGGTCACTTCTAATATCTTTCCCCCTATGCACAGTTCTCTTAGTGTAGGAGAAAATGTGAGTAACATGTATAAAATAGGATACAACCATTTCCTTTAATCTGGCTATTTATTTCTTGTATCAGGAGTGAACCAAGGGTACAACTGTAATGTATTTAAAAAAACACAAAGTTTTAAAACTTGGCAATATATTAAATGTCCTTTGACCAGTAGCTGGCCACTTGGAGTGCCTGTGGTCTTGCTATAAAGAGGTCTTCCATTGTGCATCAGAAACTGAACTCAGACTGCATTGTAATAGATGCTCTGTGGTTTGCTCTTCTCTACACTCACATGTCGTGGACTCCACTTTGTGGTGCCATTTTTAAAAGTTGGCTCTGCATCTTGTGGTACCAGAGCGCAATCTGATCAGCAACTTCCAAGTCGCCTAGTCTTTTGCATGCCCAGGAGGGAGCCTCTCACTTGGTATCAGCCATAGGTTGAGGTTCTGGGTTTTAGCCTGCCACTTTTGGACTCTCGCTTACTAAGGTGTTCCTGAGAGTATCTATGTAGATCTTAGATTTCTTGATTTAAGGCATTGGCGTGTTGGCTGATATCTGAACAGGGGGTGGGAGATGGTCCTTTCATTATTGGCTGCTATTTCCTGACAGATAGCAGGTGGTGCAATACTGGCTAAACAGCGTAATTTCTCCAGTAGTGTAGGGCACAGTCATCCAATGATAATGCGGCATGTCTCATTAAGAGCCACATCCACTGTTTTAGTGTGGTGATATGTGTTCAACACTGGGCATGCATACTCAGCAGCAGAGTAGCAAAGTGCAAGGGCATATGTCTTCACTGTATCTGGTTGTGATCCCCAGGTTGTGCCAGTCAGCTTTCATATGATATTCTTTCCTTTTGCTTGATATTCAAGCACTGCTTCTTGTAGGTCAGAGAACAGTCCAGGGTAATTCCCAGGTATTTGGGTGTGCTCCAATGCTCCAGTGGGGTTCCTTCCCAGGTAATCCTTAGAGCTTGAGATGCTTGTCTGTTCTTAAGATGAAAAGCACATGTCTGTGTTTTAGATGGATTAGGAATCAGCTAGTTTTCCCTGTCATAGGCAGTAAGAGCACCTAAAGCTTTGAAGAGACTCTGTTCAACCGTCTCAAAGCTCCCTGCTTGAGCGGTGATGGCACAATCATCAGCATAGATGAAACTCTCTCCCTTCTGGCAGTGACTGATCTGGCTAATCAGTAAAAGGTTTTGCTTTTTAAAATGCAAGTTAGTACATTCTTCCCAACATTTGTGGAGTTTGTACTAAGAAAACCAAATGGTTAGCAAAAATACTTAAGTATTATAGATAGGGCCTTTCTGTGCAACATGCATGACTGGTCACCTTCAGGGACCAGAAAGAAACTTTACCATGTTATGGGAGTATGTTTTTCCCCACCTTTCCCAGGGTTTCCTTGCAGCTGCATATGGACACAGTCTTGCAATTCTTGCCTGTGATTTGCATTAGGTCATCCCCCTCCCTCATTCCTATTGAACATTGATTAAATTTGCTGTTTTGTCACAACTGATAGATATTGAAGCGAAGATGGGGCATTGGGCATGAGTTATATGTTACTTGGGGATGGGGAATATAGTGGAGAGACAGAGGTTTGTGACCTGCAATCTGGATGGATGCAGGGGAACCCATGTCCAGCTGATTAAAATCGTCTGGCCAGTCTATTTGTTTACCAGACCTGTACAGTTTGCAAAACATTTGGCACATTTATCAGTCTTTAAATCATCGGGGCCCATATTCCCTCAGCATACTGCCTACCTCTAGATCATTGATTTATGACATAGATTATTTGACTTTGTGAGTACAGATGATCAATAATTGGGGTATACACATTTATGTTGTGGCCAATTATTCAACCTGCTACCACAGTGTCAGGCTTCCTTGTTTGGGCACAAACACTGTCTTCCTCCCACCACAGCACTGCTGCCAAGGAGATGGGTCTCTTTAGCTTTAGTACTGTGAGTCACTAAAGCAAAAAGAAAGCTCGAGAAAATGGAAAGGTCGAGATAGAATAGAAGCTCTGGAACTGGCTTTATTCTCTGTTTTGTTCAGAATGAGACAGGCAGCTACTTTCCATTTTTCTCCCTCCCACTCAAGGCTTTGGAAAAATCAGGGCCTAAAGGATTATTTTAATGTAGGTGGGAACGCATAGTGCATGAAAGAACATTATATAAACCATATCCATCAGGACACAAACCACCCACATGCTACAGAAGAGAGAAAGTGCAGGCTAGTTGCCATGGTATGTCATGCACCACTGAAAAGATATTCTGATTATGAATTCACTCTGAAAAAAGACCAGGAAGCTCTCGAGCTAAAGATTAATTTACTGCTTATTGGAGAAAATGCAATATACATCCCTCTCCCCATACCAATTTCTATGAGCATGCAATATTGTAAAAGGAATCCTAAAATGTGCTGCATACAAAGATTTGTCCACAAAGCAGCCAACACCTGGATTCAGAATGGTCACAGCAGAGCTTGGAAGGCTACTTCTGTGAGTTAGGAGAATGCTACACTAAAACCATTAATAAGAAAACGGTAGTAGGATATTGCCACTAAATTATGGACGTTTCTATTAGTTCTTTAGAACAACTTAACTACCTCTAGGACATGGAGTCGATTTTTTCAGAAAAAATACTACTACTACTACTACTACTACTACTACTACTACTACAATAACAAGAACAAAAAACCTCCCAAAGAAATGCAAATTAACTTCTTAAAAGAGATATTCTTGCCCAGGGTTCAAAGCTATGAAGAATGACATCTGTCCCATTTTGGAGTTCTCCATTTTCTCCAAAGGCTGCACTTAATACTATACAACTGAAATCGATGTTGTGGTCATTTCCAGGTGATGTTAGCTGCTGTATGTGTTTGTATGTGAGTAGCAATTTAAAAAGGAATCACATGTTCTGGGGGGCGACATTAAGACAACAATTCTCAATTTCTTTTTTATCAGATGGCCCAAGGGCTACAGAAAAGCCCTCCTGGTCACATGCAATCCATGCAATAACAAAAATAGTTCCTTATGAAATCTAAAGCACTGTCTGTGGGTTTCATTTCTGTGGATTTGATTATTTCCACATTTGATAAAAACGTTCTCTCTAGGAATCTGTAGTCTAGGTCCTTCAGTGCAACTCTATGCCCAGGGGTTGATTATAGTCATGTTAGAGGACCTAACAAGATTCCTAAACCAAACTCCTCTCTAGGAATCTCTAGGTCCTCTACTGCAATTCTATCATCAAATTCAAGTGAAGGTTGATCACAAAAATGTGTTGGAGTGCCTCAAGATTCCTAGAGTGTGTTTTAATTTATGTTTTTTTCCAACTTTGTGGGGGACCTGCATCCTTAATGAAAGCAAATGTGGAGGACTAACTGTATTCCAAAGACGTATGAGTTCCCACTCTCTCACAAGCAGCCTGCTATATACTGGACTCAATCACTCTGATTCCTACAACTGATAATGATGCATAACCAGGCAAGCTTTAAGGTTTAATTTACTGCTTTTTGTTGCACCTACTGCTGTTTAATGATTATTTTACAATTGTTTTAGTCTCTGTTTTATTACTTTTATTATTTTTATGTGACAAGGCTGAATGCCAAATCACCAATATATTGGGTGATTAACATAAAGGGCTGATTTACCTTTTTGTCATACCAGTGGGAATCTTTTTGTTAGCTATAACTGGATTCATTTCAGGATTGAGAGAGCACATTTTATTATGAAATGGAAAAGCAGTTGAAGGTAGCAGAAGCGTATAAAACTAAACAATCTGAATCATTAGTTACCTGCACATTTCACTCCCTGAGCAATGAGGCCCCACATGAAGTTGGCACAATATTCACACCAGTGCGGACCCCTAAATGTGTGAACCTGAAAAACAGAAGAAGAAACCAACAAATGTGCACAGTGATTATTCGGTACATTTTTAAAATGGATACCAACTTCAACCTCTCTATGATTTTTCTTGCAAAAGTAATATTGATTATGCTTGTTGGTATAATGGATTAAAGACACAAGATGCCGCAAACACTAGCTTAAAGAAAAAGACTAAAACTTGAGTAACAAAGTCATTCTTTTTCATCTATAGAAAATTCTGGGTTCATTACCTAAGAGAGCTTTCCTTTTTGTGAAGATCATATACTTGAGGAGTGCCTGTTAGAGCTACTTCCTAAAAAGATATACCCAACAGCCTAGTATTTGAGCAGCTGAGTTTGCATTTCTACTCCGAGGGAAGAGGACAGCACAAATCTGATGTGCTGCAAAGTGCTTATTTCAAAGCAACATTTGAAATATGTGTGCATGCACACACAAACACATATATATTATTTTAAAGGGTATGCTGTTCCTCCCAATTGTCAATACTGCGGTTATCCATTTATTACATGTCAACACCTCTCCCCATCTCTAGGCCTTGGAGGAAGGCTTGGAATTGACCATGCAAACCTTGGGCTTCTTCTTCTTGCACTGGGAAAAACCAGAATATATCCCAAATGTGTCAGACAAACAGATGTGTTGAGGGCTCTTTTGTATTGGTTTAAAAATAAGCCACAATATTGCTCTCTCTTCCCATCTTTAAGAATATTTTGGTAGATGCTAACCTATTCTGTTTTGACTTTGCATACATTTGCTCATTACCAATAGTGTAAATTATTGAAAATTCCAAGATAATCAGCAGGTTTATATCCTCCAGTTATCCCTTTCTTGGCAAAGGTTAACAAGGGCAACCAAGAAGTCTTACTCTTTAAACATGGTTGGACACCAGAGTGACCACTAAGTGTATGGTTAGAGGTCATTTTGTCATAATCCCCAATACATAAATAATACAACTGGTAGCCATTTCCCTTCTCCATTTAATACCAACAGCAGAATATATGAATTTGAATTAAACACTTAATCATGGTCCCATCCTTACATTTCATTTTTATAGCGTGTTTCCAAAACTTATTTATATTGCCTTTCTCAAGGCAGTTTACAGCAACAAAAACAAGATGCAGAGCAACAACAGATTATAGCTATAAACACAATATCAATAGTACAGGGAAAACAAATTCTTTTTCTTTGGTATGTTAATAAATACTTAGAGTTTGTAGCAGAAAATATTCTATTTGGGTATTTAAAAACAAAAATTATTAATATGTAATCAGTATATTTCTGGTCCAGTGGAAAAGTTAAAGCAATGGAAGGCTTTAGTTTATGTTACTCTCATAAACATCTGGAGGGACAGCACTAAGAACAAATAAATAAAAATCCTTGTATGCAACAAAGGATTCAGTGCTAAGAAGGAAAGTGATATCTATTTCCTTAAATGCCATTTCACAACTAAAAGAAGCTAATGCTGATTTTGTTATGAGAGTCTTCATTCTGTACCACATTTTAGCATGGAAAATCATCATTTTTAACCAATGTGTAGACTTATTTAAGCCTATTCATTCATATTGGAGTTTGAATCTCTAGTTGAATAGTTAAATAAAACAAATGAGCAATTCATTCCAGGGTATTAGTTATGTCAATCATTGTAGCAAAAATGGCAAAAGCATGGCCTTGGTATCCACTGCATTCTGTACAATATTCATGGATGCTCAAGTCCCATTATATACAAGGGCATTGTAAAATGGTGTCCCTAATATAAAATGGCAAAATGAAGACTTGCCTTTTAGATTTTAAAAAATATTTTCAAGCAGTGGGTGGTTGGATCTGTGGATACAGAATCTAAGGATATGGAAGGCCAAGAGTACTAGAGTGCCTAAAGTCTAACATTAGCCACATTGCAGCAAAAAAGTAACACTATCAATTTCAATAAGAAAGAATTAAGCATGACACATAATAACTGCTGACATAATTAGTACCAGAAATGTTATAACCCTGGCTAATGTTGTATTGTGGTAAGAGCCTTTTTAGGCTAGAACTGTTACAGTATGTCATGTAGATGTGACTTTGGAAGCATTAATTAGTGATTTAACCACACAAATGTTTTATAGTCCTACAGAGTTCAATGCACATTTACAATGCAGTTAGCAAAGGTTCATAGCTTGGAGCATGCTTTGTATATGGATGGACACATGCCAAGTCCCCAATATCTTCTGAGAAAGGACCAGTAGTAGATAATGGGAAAAGACATGGCATGAAACTCAGGAAAGCTACCATCAGCTAGTGGACATAATTTGTGGCTGGATGGTCTAGTTAACTAACTCCAAATAACACAACTACATGTATGAGCTTAATAATAGGTAAAGGATTTTAAAGTTAAACCATCAGTCCAATTCCTATGGAACATATCTTATGTTAGAAATACATTACTGACATATTTTATTAGTTAAATATATATGTGGTACTGTGTTTCATGACTTCAAGAGGACCTCTTCCTCCCCAGTATCCTCACAACAATGTTGTCAATTAGGCTAGACTGGCTGGACCAAGGTCACTCTGTAAGTTTCATAAATCAATGGGAACTTGACCCATTTCCCAGTTCAATGTGCTAACAATTACATTACACTTTAATACAAATTATCCATTGTACCACATTACTATTGCTTCAATAGCCTCTTCTCTCTATCTTCACAAGTATAAATGTTGTATTCCTTTATTTTAAAAAGTCGTTATACTATCTTTCTGCACTGAACTTAGTCATAAATAAAGAATACAAAAAAGAATTATCACAAACATTGTGTGACTATCTTTTAAAGCTTTGACTAAGAGAGAGATTGTAGTTACAGAAAAGATTGTAGTAAAAGAAAATAAATAAATAAATAAATAAAATACCAATCAGAGAGGAGTGAAGGGCTAGGTGATCACACAATTGCAGGAATGCATATCATGCATACAAACATTATCAACACAGACTGTTCCTTTTGAGTGTATAATCTCTACTTTAATCACTGCTTTTCATCTATAAGCTCTGGGAGTAGTCCTTTGGCTCATGACAACACATTTGGGAAAAAGACTGAACCGTGTGGCATGTCTCCTTCTTGGAGATTTATTCTCTAACAGTCCTCAATCCCGCCTACCTGCACAGATCGATAAAGTTTTAAGGTGCCTTTAGCTCAGACTGTTGAGTGTGATGAAACAGAGCGAGGCAGCAGTACCCTACCTAAAATAATTATTACTAATTTATTTCTTTAACTCGGGAGTGTCAACATTACAACTCCTCAGCACCTGGTCTGAGAAAGGATGACTATAGAGGACTTTAGTGTCTCTATCCCTCAACCGTTATTATGAATGGATAATGGAGGCTGGGAGCTGTAGTCCAAAAAAGGAACTGTTCAATACTGTTCTCTGAGCCATGGAACAAAATAACACAGAATATGAATAAAATAGATGATAAACTAAGATCATAAGTAGGGGGTAAGAGGGTTTCTTAGAGTAAAATTTCTCTTCCATACGTGCTGTTAACAGAACTCAAGCTGGCTAATCCAAAACCATCCTCTGCAGAGTTTGCCAATGCAAAAAGCTAGGTAAAGGTAAAGGTTTTCCCCTGACATTGTCCAGTCGTGTCCAACTCTGTGGTGTGGTGCTCATCTCCATTTCTAAGCCGAAGAGCTGGCGCTGTCCGTAGACACCTCCAAGGTCATGTGGCTGGCATGACCGCATGGAGCACCGTTACCTTCCCACCTTAGTGGTACCTATTGATCTACTCACATTTGCGTGTTTTCAAACTGCTAGGTTGGCAGAAGCTGGGGCTGACAGCGGAAGCTCACGCCACTCCACAAATTCAAACCTGTGACCTTTTGGTCAACAAGCTCAGCAGCTCAGCTAGTTGCTGTAATATTTTACTGTTGGTGTTGTTTTTCTAGTTCACAAACTCACAAAAAAGTTTTTTTTCAAAAGCAGATTTGGTACTTTATTCACCAAGTAGATCAGGGGTCCTCAAACTAAGGCCCGGGAGCCGGATGCGGCCCTCCAAGGTCTTTTACCCGGCCCTCGCTCAGGGTCAACCTAAGTCTGAAATGACTTGAAAACACACAACAACAACAATCCTATCTCATCAGCCAAAAGCAGGCCCACACTTCCACTTGAAATACTAATAAGTATATATTTGCTAAAATTGTTCCTCATTTTAATTATTGTATTGTTTTAAAGTGGAGTGTGCAGTGTGCATAGGAATTCATTCTTTTTTTTCCAAATTATAATCCGGCCCTCCAACAGTTTGAGGGACTGTGACCTGGCCCTCTGTTTAAAAAGTTTGAGGATCCCTGAAGTAGATGAACAGCACCAGCATTTCTCTAATGTGTTTGTGCTTTCAAGCTGCCTGTCAACTTCTGATAAGCCCATGAATTTCATCGAGTTTCTTAGTCAAGGAATCCTTAGAGGCACACGTGTCAAACAAAAGGCCTGCAGGCCAAATCTGGTCACCATGTCATTTTATGTGCCCTGCGAGGCTTTTAATGCTAGGGCAGCATTGTTACATTTATACAGTCTTACAATCACAATCGGCCCTTTGAAGGCAACTCTAAGTCAGATGTGGCCCTTGGTGAAAATGGGTTTGACACCCCTGCTCTAAAGTATATCTTACAATCAATCAATCAACCAACCATTCAATTAATCAATTGACTGATCAAGCCTCTATCCAATCCAACACAGTCAGAAGGGTATGCAGCAAAGTTGCTCCTTTGCTCCCTAAAATGTGATAGATGGGCCTTTTTAGTCAATTAAATAGAAAACCAGAAGGCATGAGGTGAATTGCAGGTGTAGGCAAAGTCTTCTAATATCCAATTAGGGCCATCTCCAGTTCAAAGTCTGGCCCCAGAAACAGGGCAAACTTTTTCCAATTAAATCCTTCTGAGGCCAAAACGGAGGAATAGAATGGATGGAAATGGCTGTGGATGGAAATGGCTGTGTGCTCACCTTTGTGTGTTTCTATCTTTTTCAAGACT